AGGCAGTACACAGAGAATCCTCCCAAATCTCAGTAGTCCCCATCATTGCTCCCACACTGAGTTTGTCCTTTGTTGCCCCCCAACAGTTGGTAGTGCATCAAATTAGTTAATTCTCATGCTCTGGAGCTAACTTTTTTCTCTCCTTTGCCTTGATTCACGTTGGTCCAGGGCTAGGTGGTGCTAAAGTCCCTGGCCAATGATCCACCTATTTACACTGCAGCACCCTCCCCTCATTCCTCTCCCAAGCCATGCTATCCATTCAAGAGGCAGGGAGGAGAGAGATCCAGAGTGGCAGCCATGATACCCAGACGAAGTGGTTCCAGACCATACATGGATCTCCTTTGAGCTGCAGCCAGAAGTGACAGTTGCTGCTGCAGCTCAATGGACAGCTTCTGAAACTGAATCCCCATTGTGTGCAGGGAGTTCACAGTGGGCCCCATCAGCCTTAGGGCCTGTGTGCAGTACATGCACTGCAAACATTAGGGATATTCCACTGATGTAGCAAAGTTATTGCAGAATGGTAAAGATCTCAGAAGTGGAATTGCCTTTAATAATAGTCTGAGATCTAGTATCCCTATAATGATTTTACTCTGTACACAGTGATGTCTTGCTCTTTTATAAAATTGTATTGCTACAAAGTCCAGTCATTTAATTGTATTAGTTGCATAGACAGTTAACTATGCCAGTGATGCCTGTGATTAACCAGGTGGTATGATCTTAATAAAGAGCAGCTAACCTTGACACTAATGTGCTGGAAAAACAAATAGTTCATGACCACATCAAATGCGGTAATCTTGCAGAGACTGGGTGGCTAACAACAATTTACTAACAGTGACAGTATAAAACTGAAACAAAGTTTAACTCTCTAATTATGCCAAATGTGCAAATGTATGCAACAGCTTGTTTGTGAATCATAAACTGGCAGGAATGATGTTCATATGCTGTATTTAACACAGCAATCATACATCGTATAAAGCAAGGGTGTTCGTCCTCAATTGTTTTTCTTTGCTGATCATGAGCCCAGATTATTTTCAAATAACAAGTGTTGGCTATGTGCAAGGTAACATTATTAAAACATCTAAATTTAGAATAGGGAAAATATCTTTGGATACATTTCTGGTATCTGGTATGTTTCTTTCAGGCCAGAACCAGACTTATACCAATAATGTAGAAGATAGCCACACTGGCCACTTTATTAGGTTCACCTGCTTGGTAATGCAAATAGTTAAATGAAAAATTATGTGACTGGGATTTTCCTATGTGACATGTGCTAGCTATTATATACAGATATATATTTATATATGTAACACCCTGCAGAAATACTGTTTGCAGGATGTTGAATGGACACAAGATGGCAGTGTCCTGCAGCCCAGTTACACAGACTTTATTGAAAAGCTTCATGGGATTTGTAGGCTGATTTGCAGGACTTCACTGTCTGACATGGAACTAGTAGACTACATTTCTCAGAGGAGCTGGCTGATGGGCGGGGGGCAGATAAATACAGAAGCCTGGGAACCAGAAGACAGGAAGTGGATGGAGAGCACTGCAGAGTGGGTGTAAGGAGAAGAGGTCCAAGCCAGACCAGACCACACAGTGTGGGAGAGAGAGAAGGAGTTGTTGACCACCAACACCACTGACAAGTCTGGTGGACAGTCCTGCGAGCAGGTGGGCCGGAGTGATGCTGTCCGGAGGATCTCTGGAACCATAAGGAAATGGGGGCCTCTGTCTACAGAGAGACTTTCTGTCATCTCACTGAGACCATAGACAGGGTGAGAGAATTCCATATTCAAGCCATCCACATTGCACATGACATTACCCAATTCAGTTATTCTCTACTCAGCTTGATTACTATCGTTTCTCCAAGTGTTAGGGCCTAAGCTATTCGGCCTACTAGTTATTAAAGTTCCAACATACCCAATCACAGGCAGTTGCTAATAGTGTCACTTTTACATACTGGCACTATTACTGCACCAAATTCAATTATAATTACCTCAAATTCAATGATAAAAAAGTGGAGATAATTAAGGCCAACTGTAAGTTGGTGTACAGGGACAGGCAGAGTGTCTGTCTCTGTACACTGCGTAGCATGTGAAATGTTTGACTCTGCTATTCCTTTCTTCCTCCCTGTCACTGGTTGTTAAGGGCACTGTTGGATTCACAGCTAACAGTTATCTAGCAACCAACTGATGCTGACAGTGGGCGGAGGCTGATGGTGAAGCTGTTCCCTATCAACTCTGTTCTCTCTTTGTGATTGAGAGCAAGCAGTGGGTAGATTCTATTGTCTATTGGCAAAGTATCCACCATTACCTGCTGTCAAGCACAAGGGGAACAAACCTGATAGGAAATTAGTGTCTCAGAGACCCCAACAGGCTCAACCCAGCTTTAAAAAATCCTCAGCCGCTGTGCTGTCTGTCCATGTTTCAGACTCCAAACTCATGTACCTAATTACAACAAGATATTCATAGTGTAGAGGCATGATGGAGTTCTAGAATGTTGTAGAATGGAGGTTACAGTTATAAATACCCTTACATAGGCTGCACAGCATACAGTTCTTCTGAAACAATTCTTTTGTTTTGTGCCTGAGGAGCAATTGCGCTGCCTGTCAAAAAAATTAAATGTATTAAAATGTATGTAAATGAATTTTCTTTAGTTTTTGAGTGTGGAAGGGTGAGAGCCTTTGTCACATTTTTCCTGCTGTCTGTGCTCCTAGTGGAAAGAGTCATCCCTCTAATTGTCCTGGTGACCATTGTCACCAAGACAGAAGGTAACAAAAATGCAAAAATTGTACTTGTCACCAGAGTACAAATCAGAGTAAGTTTTCCAGTGGGGACACTTGTTTTGGTGACCGTGATTTAAGATGGGAATTCCTGTAAGTTTTGGGAGTTTTTCTCAATTTATGCTGCATCCCTGGCACCTGAAGTGCAAAAAATAACCCGACAGGGGTTTATCCCTTCCCTACTCTATCCAAAACTATAAAATGTTTAGGCTATACATTTGCCTTGGCTGGATTCCAGCTTCATGCTTTTCCTTAATGTGCTTTTCATTGAAATCCATGGAAATAGTTCAACCCATATCAATGTATACAGTAAGGCGTGCTTGTCATCGGGCATGCAATTACATCATTATGTCAATGCACAATGGTTTGTGTTATGACATGCATTGACATGAAATACGAAGACACTGCAATGCGCATTGCAAATGCAGGACAATGCATGTTGACATGTTGTTTTGATTCCCTTATATTGATTTCAAGGGAAAACACCTAGGTGTAAATCCAGCTTAATGCCCCACTTACAACATGAATTGTAAAAGCAATGTTGTTCAATTAGACTGTTCGAATCTCTGCCATGCATTGTACTGTGGTTTGAAAACAGGTATGTCCATTTTTCTGTGCATTTTCATGCACCATTATTCCCAATAGAGCAATGAAAACGTGGGTAAACACCCTACAATGCACTAAAAAATAGACAAATGTGGACATGGATAGACATAACCCTGACCTAAGCTCCGGTGTCAACTGTTTTTTGTTCACTTCTCAACTGTCTCTTCCCATACCTGGGGCGGACTGACCATTCGAGCACTCGGGCACTGCCCGAGGGCCTGGGGTCAGTAGGGGGCCCCATGAAATACCCCTGGTACTTTTTATAGGCTTTTTTGGGTGTGCTTTGAGTGTGGGCGAGGACGCAGGGGCCCCATGATCCCCTATTGCCCTGGAACCCCATGAGTTATCAGTGCACCCCTGTCCCATACAAATCTACGGCAAAGCAAAAGCTGGTTGACTGCAGGTCAAGTGCGCCGGAAATTAATTCTGAACAATCTCAGAAGCATCTCAAACTGGTATCAAAGCCCACTACACTTGTCCATCAAAATCTGTCAACACAGACCCAATAACAATCTAGATATATGTATGTGTATATATATATATATATATATATATATATTAGGCCTTATATTGCTTGCTTCCTTCTCGAAAGTCTAGTTGCATGGATGTCTCAGACCTTAGTTCTAAAAAAATTTTTTTTAAATTCATTCCTATTCAATAACTTATTAATACAATTATTATTATACAGGATTTATATAGCGCCAACAGTTTGCGCAACACTTTACAAAATGAAGGTAGACATTACAGTTACAATACAATTTGGTACAAGAGAAACAGAGAGGGCCCCGTTCATAACCTAAAGTTTAACCTGAACTGTTTTGTTTATTTCAATTTTTCTAACCATTAACATTCAGGGCTCATTTACAATGTTTGCGTTGTGGTAAGCAAGGACATTTCATGAGTTGCAGTGCCATTCATTGCAGGGCAACGCAAGGTAGTGAATGGCATTTGAAAAAAATATGACAAATCTAATTTTTTACTCTTATTGAGTATGTTGGCAGCCTAATATTTCCAATGGACTGCCTTAATGCAACATTCCTACTGAATCAAATGAAATTTAAACTGTGAGTGTCCCTAGTTGGCACCACCCAACTGGAAAAACGTTAACTGAAATATAAAAGAAGACAGGTGGAAAATTGTTGATTGACCAGTGGCTGCATCCAATCCGAAGCTGTCACTTGAATGCAGTATGGTAGCTGGCAGTGCAGATTCCTCTATATATACTGTTTAGCATTGATGGAGGATCTATTGATTTACCGTATTTTTCGCTCCATAAGACACACTTTTTTCCCCAAAAAAAGGGGGGGGGGGGGGAAATGTCAGTGTGTCTTATTGAGCGAATATGGAGCGGCCGGTCCGATATTTCCGCCGCCGCCACCATGTCAGAATACCGGGTTGACCGCTCAGCTCTTCTCTCCTGCAGGACCTTACCTGTTCCTGTTCCTCTCTTCCCGCGCCGGCTTCTGTGACAGCCGGGTGCCCACTGCGCATGCGCGAGAAGTGCTGCGCTTTGTGAACGGTCCGGCGACTTCTGGGACACATGACAGAAGAAGAAGCCAGCGTGCCCACACTAAAGAAAGGACAACTTCAGGTACCCGCTCCCCCTCCCTCCCCAAAAGTCTGCAGTCTCTTGGTCATCCCCTGTACTGTCTGCAGTCTCTGGTCATCTGTACTATGTCCGCAGTCCCTGGCATTTTCCCTGTACTATGTTCACAGTCTCTGGTCATCTGTACTATGTCCGCAGTCTCTGGTCATTCCCTGTACTATGTCTGCAGACTATGGTCATCTCCTGTACTGTGTCCACATTCTCTGGTCATCCCCTGTACTGAGTCGGCAGTGTTCTGGTCATCCCTGTACTGTGTCCGCAGTCTCTGGTCATCTCCTGTACTGTGTCCGCAGTCTCTGGTCATCTCCTGTACTATGTCCGCAGTTGCTGGTCATCTCCTGTACTATGTCCGCAGTTGCTGGTCATCTCCTGTACTGTCTGCAGTCTCTGGTCATCTCCTGTACTGTGTCCGCAGTCTCTGGTCATCCCCTGTACTGTCCGCAGTCTCTGGTCATCTCCTGTACTGTGTCTGCAGTCTCCGGTCATCTCCTGTACTGTGTCTGCAGTTGCTGGTCATCTCCTGTACTGTCTGCAATCTCTGGTCATTCCCTGTACTGTGTCCACAGTCTCTGGTCATTCCCTGTACTGTCTGCAGTCTCTGGTAATTCCCTGTACTGTGTCCACAGTCTCTGGTCATCTCATGTACTGTGTCTGCAGTCACTGGTCATCTCCTGTACTGTGTCCGCAGTCTCTGGTCATCTCCTGTACTGTGTCCGCAGTCTCTGGTCATCTCCTGTACTATGTCCGCAGTCTCTGGTCATCTCCTGTACTGTGTCCGCAGTCTCTGGTCATCTCCTGTACTGTGTCCGCAGTCTCTGGTCATCTCCTGTACTGTGTCCGCAGTCTCTGGTCATCTCCTGTACTGTGTCCGCAGTCTCTGGTCATCTCCTGTACTATGTCTGCAGTCTCTGGTCATCTCCTGTACTATGTCCGCAGTCTCTGGTCATCTTCCTGTACTGTGTCCGCACTCTCTGGTCATCTCCTGTACTGTGTCCGCAGTCTCTGGTCATCTCCTGTACTGTGTCTGCAGTCCATTGGTTCAGAATATTTTTTTTCTTGTTTTTCACCTCTAAAACCTAGGTGCATCTTATGGTCAGGTGCGTCTTATGGAGCGCAAAATACGGTACTCTCCTTCAGCCCACAGACCGAATAAAAGAAATGTAACCATATATAGCTAACTGTATTAATGAAAGAAAGAAAGTTTCAGGGGTGAATAATCTGAAGAATTTTGCCTGCATGTTATTGATGATTGACACCACTTTTGAAAGATTCAATCCACTTGAATTAAAAAAAAAAGAGCTGATGCATTAAAAGCGAAACATTACTGAGTGAAAAAAAATTCAACAACCTAAAAAAAACAAATGTGTTAACTTTTAAAAGTCTTGTACTGTACAGGTTCAGTGCTACTGTCACGTTACAGAATTAGTATAGGAGAAAAAAATAATGCATGGATTCTAAATAAATAGTGAACTAAAGGCTGTGTGATTTTTTTATTATTAACTTTTAATTTATTTTTACTTTATTTTATTTTATTTTATTATTACCTCTATTATTAACTTTGAAAATCCAAAATATGCTAAAATGCAGAAAAGTTGCCAAATTAACATTTTATAATTGTGTTGAAACAACACAAATTCTTGTTGCTAACAGCACTTACATTACAGTATTTGCACAAAATAAATATTACAGTATATGTGCAAAGGACTGCAAAAAATGAAAAGCACTAAACACATACTACACATGCACACAATGTAGTGCCTGAAGCCCACTTTGTTCTTAATAAAGTCTATGTAGATCCCCTTTTCTTTCCAGGAGAACAGAGCAGCACTGTGACTGTAATCAAGCACCAGGAAAGCTTTGGCTGTGGCTCAGCTATTACTGTCATCACAAAAAGCTGTGCCACCTACTCAGCTACACAAGCTGGCAAAAACAATTGTTACCCAGCACCTGTGCGCAAAGTCATCCAGTGTACTTCTGAACCTTACATGTTCCATCACCACAACAACTTAAATACATAAATGGCTGTGAAATACACATTTAAATGAAGCCTAGGCTCCAATTCCTATCCTATGTCTGATAATGCTGCTTACTTGCCTGACTGATGTACTGAACCCTATACTGCAATACTTTGAATCACTTGCCCATAATAAATAAATATAGCAACTGACATCACAATGAAGTGAGTATATTTGATCAGTACATTCATTTGAAATAGTCATTTCAGGATTCTGGAGGTTTTTGGATGGGGCTGCCTATTATCTGCTATTAATATGGGTCAACCCATGTGGAAGAAAAATATATTTGAAATATATTTTTAAAATATTCTTCCCAAATATATTGCCATATATTTGAAATGCTACAATTTTGGCCATATTCAATATATAAAAAAAAAAAAAAAAAAAAAAAAATAAAAAAAAATAAATAATATATATATATATATATATATATATATATATACTGTGTGTTGAAATCAGGGCGGACTGCCATTTGGAAACTTGGACACCGCCCGAGGGCCCGGGGTCAGTAGGGGGCCCCATGAGATGCCCCTGGTACCTTTTTCATAGACTTTTTTGAGTTTGGGCAAGGACACAGGGGCCACATGATCTCCTATTGCCCGGGGCCCCATGAGTTGTCAGTCCGCCTGATTGAAATGTGTTTTTATTCCAAAATATATGAAAAATATTTTTAAATATACTGTATGTCTTTAAAAATACAAATCTACATTTTTGGAATGCATTTACAAATATGTGTAAAAATATATGTTAAAAATTACTTTTTTATATGTTAAAAAAAATCTGAAGAATATATTTAAAAAAAACATTTTTTAAAAAATATATATTTTTAAAATATATTCTTCAGATTTTTTTTAACATATTAAACAGTTGGACATTGAAAGTAGCTGGTAAGATGTCACATCTATTTTGGTTAATTCCCCCCATACCGCTGATAAACATTAGTTAAAAGGTTAGGACACTGCAGTCGAATCTGCATTAAGTTGGGTACTTGTAGGAAGCCCACCTTAAGTAACAGATATCAGGTGTTGAAATAAAATAGTTTGACTTGCACATTGAGGCAGCTTTGAACCTCTTTGATACAGTTATATTTCAAACTTGACAGATCCTGAGATGTTATAGGCTGATCATACCAAGCTTAATCTGTTGAATCTGCAATAATATGTTCATATGAAGATAAAATCCTGGCAAAAATCATTTATATCTGTTCACAAGTCTATAGATATGGTTTGGCCAACATAATTGATATAATATATGTATCACGTGGTGCACATTGTTGCCATTTGACTATTCTTGTTGCTTTCTATTCAAATTTTTGGGACCTGTCTGCTAAGGAGGCCCCCCCTGCTCTGTCTTCTTAATAGACACTGTTAGATGAACACCCCTATGATTCGATATTTAATGGTCTGCTAAATTTTGTAGCCTCATATTGAACTATCTAAGAGTCCTTTCACACGGGCGTTCTGCATGTCCGTTTTTCATCTGTCCTTTTACGGATGAAAAATGGACACCCATGCATTTCTATGGACTAGCAGATGTAAACGGACAATCATCTGTTTACATCCGTTTATGTTCACATCCATTAACATCCGCTTTTTTTTTTTAACAAAAAAACAGATGTAAATGGACATACAGTCCGTTTTTGCATCTGTTTTTGCATTGAAAAAGGATGGAAAAAAAAGATGGAAAAACTGATGAGAAACTGACAAGAAAATGACGAGAAACAGATGAAAAAACTGATGTAAACGGATGAAAAACTGATGTAAACGGATGGAAAATTAATGTAAATGGATCAAAAACAGATGTAAATGGGTGAAACATGGATGTAAACGGATCAAAAACAGATGGAAATGGGTGAAACATGGATGTAAACGGATCAAAAATGGATATGAAAATGGAGAGGTAAAAAGTGAAGTCTTGATCCGTTTAGCTCCAATTTAGAAAAAAAAATACGACTGAAACAAAACAGAACACCTGTGTGAAAGGACCCTAATATATTCTTATATTCTGTCACCAATATTTTTGCATGGTCCAAGTTATATATTGAAATATTCAAAAGGAACTATACCACAGAAATCTTCCTACCTAACCCTTCAAAATCGCAGGTGATTTTCATTGCAGGCTATAATTATTTATCTGACATAAAATTCAGTGACACAAAACTCCTTAATACCTAGCAGGCAACGTCTCCATTTACCACATTTTTATTCATTGCCTTTCATTTTTCAAGCCTGATATTTTAATCCTGGTCTCTATTGTTCGTGGAAGTTCATTTCATGGTACATTAGGTCTAAAATCCTTCTGTCCACTGCTGAATGATCGTAGGCAATGCTTTTTTTCCCCTTTAGAAATATTTCAGAGCACTCTCTATCTATATGTGCTTGTCATTAGTTGATATACAGTAGGTTCTTTTAGAAAAGCTGTAAGTATAACATGTAAAAAAAAAATTTTTTTCTAGGAATTAAATTAGTTGATTAGCAGGTATGTTTTGGATTTATTTTTTTTTAAAGTACACCATGCTGGATTTGAGCACCATTGACCCACTGATACTTACCTTCACTGTACTCCTCTATTGATCCATCCAAGCCTCTTTGAAAATCTTGGTATGGTGAAGCATGTGACTTCCTCCTATATTGCAGGCTCAGGCCTTAACAGCCAATCACCTGCAACTGTCAATGTTCATCACCATCCAATACAGAGTTTACACAGGCAGTGACGTAAGAATACTAAATAATAAGTAATGGGATCATTTATTAAGTGGTTCCTTGACCACTAATGTTATGTGAGAGTTTATTGCTAGGTAGGATTTCCCCTGACCGCTATAGTTGCAGCGGCTTTGGAGTGCCAATGAATGATCTCTAATATAAAAAAAGAGGGAATTTCCACTGTCCACTAAAAGAAAAGGGGGTTCCGTTAGGCAGTGTCAGATTTATAAGGGGGAAAAGGTCCAGCTGGCCTGGGCTCCCAGACAGAAGTGCCCCTTCTATACAAAAATTATATAAAACAATATAAAAAATTATATAAAATAATTTTAAAAAAGTAATAATAAAATAATATAAAATATATCTGTCAAAGTTTTTACTCTGGACTGGTATATTGTATTGTTTTTAAAAATGAATATTTTTACACAGACTGGGCCTCCCTCACCAGCTTGTTTTTGGGGCTGTGGAGTGGACGTGGACTTCCTTCACTGCTTATGGCACTGCCCAAAAGTCCCTGCTCTCTGTCAATACTTTTCTCTCCTCTTCTTTGGAACTGCCCAATATTTTTGCACCTCAACAATTACTTTTGGGCATTTTTGGAGATTTACCTATTTCTAAGTATGATAAAAGGCTCTTACGGCTACTCTATTTCTATGCAAA